CCTCCCACCCGCCCTTTCTCCCGTGGCTGGTGGCAGGTGAGTGGGTGTCGAGGAACCGCCGCCATGCAGCGGAGAAAACAGGACGCCGCAGAAATCAGATTACTCACCTGCAGCTGCGAGTACCCAGGGCTAATAAAAGCTGAGCTTCCTGTTGTTTCTTTATTACCACCCTCTGCCTCCCCCAGCCCCAGGCGCTCCCAGCTGCAGCCAGAGCCCCAACTGATTGCCAGAACCCGGTAGCTTCGGGGTCCAGGACCGCCCGCTGCCTGAAATTCCACCGAGTGCCGCACACGATGGGGTTAAGGCTGCCTCAGGGTGGCCCTCCATCACCTGCACGGGAATCACCTGGGGTGCTGGTTGACAAAACAGGTCCCCAGGCACTGCTGCGCACCTGCTGGATCACAATCTGCAGTTTGGGGCCTGAGAGCTTGTGAATTCATACCAACCTCTGGTGTTTTGTATGCAGGCTAAAGTTGAGAACTATTAAGTCAGGTATTGGAGCTTCAAATGATGTGGATTTATTTTTCCTCACTGCCTCCCACAATTACAGGTAAAACCTATCCCCAGTTTTGGCCAAGTAAGTCCCTGACCTCAGGGCCTCAGTTTGCTCACCTGTTTAGTGGGGATGAAGATGATATTTCTTGGATCTGAAATGAGGCTCAAATGGGACAATATGCTTAGCACGATTCCTGCTGGTTGCAGGAATAGACATTAAACAAATACGGTAAGTAAGACCTAAGTGGTGGGCAGGATGGACAGGGGCTGTGGGGGACAGTGAAGGGGCCATAAATTACTTGGGAACATTGAGAAAAGCCCCTCACCTTGCAGCTCCACCGGGAGTTCCCACCGTGCCAGGAAAATGTCCCTGCCCAGAGCATTGAGAATCCCTGAAGGCCAGGTCTGGTGGCTTCTTCTCAGCCTCTCTGTGGCATCTGACTCTGGGGTGGGCCACACTCTCCTGCTTCAAGCTCTCCCCTCCCTCAGCTTCAGGGAGACCTCTGATTCCTATTTTCCACCTCCCCCATAGCATCTCCTTTGCAGTGACCCCAGCTCCTCCTTCTGCCCCTGTGATTGTAGGCATCTCAGCCTGCTGCACACCCTCCGCTCCCTTTCTGGACAACTTCACCCACTCCCGGTTCCCCCCTCCACGCTGAGCTTTACCCTGAGCTCCCACTGTGTAAATGCAGTACCTCTTAGACATCTCCACCTATTAACCCCCAGGCATCCCAACTCAGCCCAACCAACTCTGAACCCGTCATCTTGATCTCCCCTCCAACCCGCTTCTCCTCCTGGGCTTCCTGTCTCAGGGCATCACCCATGGATATTGCATTCCTCGATGGCTTGCTTTTTTTTTTCATGCATTGCTGTTTCTAAACTACATATATGATTTTGCATTTTAGCTGTCATTCATTTTTTTCAGCTGTCTAGTACTCCATTGTTTAAACAGACCTCAATTACTCTATCCATTCTCCAGTCAGTGGGTGTGTAGGTTGTTTCTAGCATTTTGTCGTGATCATTCTTACAACATCCTCTGGGTGCACACATGCAGGAGTTTCTCTAACCTGTATCCCTAAGATTGAAATTGCAGGTCATCGAGTATGCACTTGTTCAGCTTTACAAGTGCTGCCAGATTGTTTTCCTAAGTGCTTGACCCAGCGAACACTCCCCACTTCCTCTGCCACAGCGGGTGAGAGTTCCAGTTGCTCCACATCCTCGCCAGCATTTAGTATGATCAGACTTCTTTATTGTCCCCAATATGTCAGCCTTCATTTGCATTTCCCTGATGAGATGAAGCATCTTTTCATTTATTTTGCATTCTGGTTTATTTTTCAGTGAATTTCCTGTTCAAACCTTTTCCCCACTTTTTAAACATTAGGTTTTTAGTTATTTCTTATTGCTTTGAAGCATTCTCAGGGAAGTTCCTCCTTTCTTAATAGAGAATATGAGACCCAAGTTCACAGGAGACAGAGCTGGGTCCAAAACCCACATCTATCTGATTCTAGGGTCTTGTACCAATCCCTTTGCCTCTCATGCATTCATTCATTCCTCAAATGTCTACTGACATCCTCAGTAAGTATTGGAGAGGGAGTAGAGAGTTGTGGTTAAGAGTGTAGACTCTGGAGCTCCTCTGTCTAGATTGTAATCTCATCTCTGCCACGCGGTAACTGTGACCATGGGTAAATTTCTAGCAAATTGTACCCTAGTTTCCTTATCTATAAAATAAGGATGGTACTAACTACCTCTCTTACAGGGTTAATGTGTAGGGACCGAATGGGTTAATTCATATAAAAGCATTTAGGACTGCATCCAGTACAGTCAGTACTGAATAAATAGTACATGCCAGACACTGTGCCCGTAGGGTACCGGTTCTGGGGACATAGGGATGAAAAGACAAGGACACTGTCCTCATGGATCTCACTGTCCAGTGCAAGGAGGTGGACACAAAACAAGTAATTAAGTAAATAAATAAATAAAATAATGTGGCTTGTGATAAGGGCAAGGAAGAAAACCAAAAGGTGACAAGACAGACTGAGCAGGCACTGACTCAGCTGGGTCATGCAGGGAAAGCCCTCTGAGGAAGGTGACATTTGGCTGAGGTATGGAGGATAAGCAAGAGCCACTTAGCAAAGAGCAGAGGAGAGTAGCCCAGCAGAGTAAAGGGCACATGCAAAGGCCCTGAGGCAAGAAGAGATGGGCACATCCAAGAAACTGCATGGTGCCAAGTGAGCAAGGGGGTGAGGGGCAGGGGAGGAGGGTGAGGAAGCCACCAGGGTGAAGAGTCTGAATTTTAATATGAGGACAGTGGGAGGTTTTGGACCATAGAGTGTTGTGATCTGGTTTATGTTTTTAAAAGATCACCTCAACTGCTGTGTGAAGATCAACTATCTATGAATTCATCTAAATACTTCTTGCAGCTACTAGTATTTTTAGTCAGTACCCGTTCTGGGCATAGCAAAACTTCCCTTTATTGATCGTAAATTTACTGCTTTTGAGTTTCAAGGGGATCCCCCTTCTGCCTCGTATCTGAGGGTTATGAACCCCATATGAGATCTCTGGTCAATATTTTTAGAGAGGGGGCACCTTACCTGCTATGTGATGTTCTATCACCTGTCAAATGAAAATGACAAGAGTAGCCACCTCAGAGAAGCTGTGAAGATGAGATGAGGCACAGCTTGACGGCAGGGAGTGACCAACACAGGCTAGTGCCATGATGATGATGATAATGGTAATGACGATGATGGTAGTAGGGATGACCGGGATTCTGCTGTGTGACCCTCTCCAGCCTGTGCTGAGAAATAAAACAAAATAAACATGTCGTAAAATAAATCTGTAAAATAAGGTTGTTGGACCAGGTGATCTGTGGGACCTGCCCATCTCTGCTTTTGCAGGAGTCTCTGATTTAGACCCTCCTTTCAGCCTATCAGGGTTACTCAGTTTCCTGCCGACACATGAAGGGAGACGGAGGAGCATGGTAGAGAGAAAACTGGCCTGGAGTCAGGAGGCCTGAGCTTCCAGCTGTGACACTGACAACGAGGTCCTCTTCATGGTGCATTTAACACACATTTATACACACACGTAGAAGGAGAGAGGAGAGAGAGATACTCATGAATCACTGCTATGGAGTTAAACACCCATCCCACCCCATGAGCTCTCACACCTTGATGGGGACATGATGTAACGTGACCCGCCACAGTCCCCTCGTTGGTCCCAGTTTCCCTACACTCAGCAGAGTGTGGACTCTTTCCATGCCAAGAGTGATTCAGGCGTTCCAATGCTTTTTATACTGTGTGGCCCTAAAACAAGCCAACCATTTCATCTGGTGGTCAGTGGAAGCCATAGCTATCTGTGCCAACACCAGAGAAAAAACCTGCCAGCTGATGGAGAATCCTGCTTCACTGGGAAAACAGAAGCAATGGAAGGAAACGTCCCCAGACTCACACCGCGCCCTCCGCTCAGCTGCCCCATCTGTGCCCAGTTCTCTTCCTCTCCCTATCACACAGATGTGACCAGTGATTTACTTCTAAGACCACACCCTCCTAAAGTGGGCTACTCTGGCCCATTTATCCATCCCCAGGACTTGCTTCTGCTCATCACTAGAGGCTTTCCCTGGCCACCCCACATAAAATAGCATCCCACCCTCCCTCCTTCCCCTCTGCCACTTTCTAGCCCCTCTTGCTTTCCTTTCCTTCACCGGACTCATCTTCATCGAATGGACATACTGAGCATTTTCTTGTTGGTTTATCGTACGTCTCCCCCTTAGAATGTCAGCTCCACAAAGACAGAGGCTTTGTTACATCTTCTGCTGTACTATCCAGAACAGTACCTGGCTCATAGTAGGTGGTGAATAAATATATGTTAAATGAATAAAAGTGTTTGAATAATTGGGAAGCTATTTATTGGTATCCACTGTGGCATCTTCCTACAGGATTTTCAAACATTTGATCATTCAACAAACATTTTATGGGGTATTTTATTTCAGTGTCAACTTTAAAACCTAATCCCCCGTGAGATGACTTTCCACTGCATTCCCTGTGTCACGCCCCTCTCTGGGCTTAGTCTATGAGATGGAGCCACCAAACATTCAACATACATTTACTGAGTATCTCCCATGCGCCAGCTATTGTGCTAGGGTCAGAAATTCCAAAAGGAGCAATCGAAATAAGATCATCTCTGGAGAGAAAGGCAGAAATGAAAATATATAATGTAAACACGCAATTGCTTGAAGGGTAAAAATGTTGGTGAGGATGTGGGTAACCGGAGAGTCTCGTGCATTTTCAGTGGAAGTGTAAACTGGCCCAACCATTGTGGAAGGCATGTCCTCCCGCTCCTGAATCTCCCTCTAGTCCAGGACTTGCCCTCAGGACATTATCACCCAAAGGCAAAAAGACACAGGGATGTTCGCTGAAGTTTTTTTTCCATTATAGTAAAAAGTTGGAATCAGCAATGTCCAACCACAGGGATTGGTTATGAAAATTGTCATAGCTCCATACAATGGACACCAAGGGGCCACTGAGCATGACACTGGAAAAATATTTAGTGAAACTTGAGAAGATATTTGTAATGTTATTATGAAAAGTTAAAAAAAAAGTCCAACAACATGTAAAGTGTGATGTCATTCTTATATTTTCTTATCTGTATATGTTTAGATCCAGGAAGATGTTTAGAAAGAGGACACCAACATGTTCAAAATGTGCTGAGCCCGGCCGGGCGTGGCTCAGCGGTTGAGCGTTGACCTGGGATCCAGGCGATTGGGGTTCAGTTCCCGGTCAGGGCACATGCCCGGGTTGCGGGCTCAAACGGTGGCTCTCTCATCATTGATGTTTCTATCTCTCTCTCTCCCTCTCCCTTCCTCTCCCTGAAATCAATAAAGATATAGTTTAAGAAAAAAACAAAACAAAAAACCCCACAAAAAACCAAAATGTGCTGATTTCTACTGTTGACTTGAGGTGGTGGGTGTTTATTGTGCTGCTCTTTCAACCTATGTGTTTGGGGGGAAAATCTTACAATTAAAAAGTTGAAAGAAAATGTGGTTATTTTGGGGCAGAATGATTTGGGGACTCTTTTTTCTTCTTTATACTTTATATATTTCCTTTAATTTTCTCAAATGAGCATCTACTGCTTTTACAAAAATAATGAAGTGATTTTAAGATAAAATGCAGCTCTTGTCACACAAAATGGTTGAATTGTTATATAGAATAGTTCCTCTGATAGTTTAAAAAAAAAAAAGGAACAGCACAATACCTGTGAATAGAGAGTTGGATAAATTAATTGTGGTGTCATACAAATACTGTGCTACTGTTTAAAAAAGGTGTTCTGGAAAACATAGGTACAGTACTTTGGTAAGTGAAAAAACAGACCATAAAACAGTTTGTACAGTATTAAGCCATTTTTGAAAAAAAGAAAGGAAATAACAATATATAATGCCCGCCCACAGAAAAAACTGGAAATATCCACACCAAAATGTTAGCAGTAGTTTTCTTTGGGAAATGGAATTACAGGTATTTTCCCCCTTCCTTTGGCTTATTTGTGTCATACACCAGTGTGTCCCACAGCACTTTCTGCAGCAATGGAAATATTCTCTGGCTGCACCGTCCACTACAGTGGCCACAAGCTATGTGTGGCTACTGAGTACTTTTAAATGTGGCTAGTGAGACTGAGGAATTGACTTTTCTATTTAATTTCAATTGATTTAAATTTAAAAAGCCACATGCAATAAGTGGCTGCTGCATTGGGCAGCACAATCCTACTGGCTTTGCAAGAGGACAAAGAGAGCTTTCCTATTTCTCTTGTTTGTTCATTTGTTCAGCCTGCTACGTGCAGAGCTCCTTTGAGATCTCAGTAAGAGCCAGTGAATGTGAAGGCTTTGCAAACTGTGAAGTGCTGGAGAGCATTTGGGATCTTGCTCCCTGGCATACGTCATCAGTTTGGATCAATAAACTCTTACAAAAAACCCCACAGAACTGTAAAGTGCTGTACTCAGGAGGTGCAGCTTCCTCTGGCCCTGGCCTTCTTTCCTCCTCCCATCCTGGGCTCTGAGACAGAACCCGGGCTAGACAAGCATCTCTGAGTGGTTTCTGGAAGGAGGGGATGGCCTGGGGTCCCGCCCCTGCAGCTAAGAAGGTATTCACTCACTCATGCATTCATTCAACAGCCCTTGTGAGCCCTTCCCTCCTGACCAGGCACTGCACTAGCCACAGGGTACAGTGGGGCGACAACGTGTGATGTCTGTGCACGTGGAACTCAGCGTCCAGGCTTGGGAGGCATGGAGTGGAAAGTCACAGGGCTTGGACACAGAAGGCTTGCATTTGAGCTCCAGCTCAGGCTCCTGTGGGTATGCCACTTAATCTTCATAAACCTCCATTTTCTCTTCTGTAAAAGCGAGAAAATAGTGACACTGCCCTACCGATTCCACAGGGTTGATCAGGGCTGGGAAAGTGAACTGCAAAGTCTGCAGGGATGTTCATGGTCAAAGAACATGTTCTTCAGGGGAATAACAGGGTAGTGACAGCCAGTTCCACTGCCCACCACGAGTATTATTATTAATATTTTATCGCAATACATTAGAGTTTCTTTAAGCATAGTTAACATATCAACCTTAGAAGGACCAGAAAAAGTTATCGTTCACCCATGTGCCATCTGTGGGTCCCCTAGTATGTTCCAGGCCAAGGTGGGTAGACGGGTCTGTCTGGAAATACAGACATGGATTATGGCCCTTCTCTTGGACACCTGACAATGGAGCAGAGGGGACACATAAGGAAATAGCTAAATTCCATTCAGCCATTCTACTGGTATATGCCAGGCCACTGGGGACACAATGGAACAAGACAGCCTCTGCTCACAGGACGCTTTCAAAGGCCATGGGTGAAGCAGATATTCATCAAACAGCCACTCAAATATACAATTACAAACTGTGATAAGAGTTAGGAGGAGGAAGCACAGGGTACTATGAAAACATATCATGGGGGCCTTGATTTAGCAGGGATGGGAGGGTCAGAGATGATGTCTCTGAAGAGATCAGGATCTGAAGGAGTTTAATAAGAGGTGAAGGGGTGGGGAAAGTGTGTGTCCAGGTGGAAGAAACAGTATGTGCAAAGGCCCTGAGGTGGGAGGGGGAAGAGCACTCCTGGGGCCAGTGTGGCTGAGACCCAGTAGATGGAAGGGATGGGTACATTATGTGGCCGGGGAGGGGGCAGAATTGCAGGGTCTGGTGGACCACGCTTGGGAGCCAATGAAGGGTTTCAGGGAAGGGGTGGTGAGAGCAGTTGTTCATTCTGGGAAGAGGACAGAAGGGGCAGAGTGGAAGCAGGGTGGACACAATGGGGGCTGGTGTAAGGGAGGTGGCAGTGGGGATGCAGAGGGGAGAGATCTGAGAGCTGTATGGGAGGTAAATGACTTAGTGTTGGATTTGCCCTGGGTGAGGTGGCAAGAGGGGTCCTACGTGATCAGTTCTGTGAATGAGGAAGGTCTGATTAAAGCTGACTTGAGGGGCCTGGGGCAGGCCTCCCAGATCGAGAGGCTCTCCCCTGAGCTGTGGGATGGGTTGCAGCACCCCTGGTGGACAGAAAGGGGAAAGACAGTCTCAATAGCTGAACCCAGGGCAAAACTTCTGTGTGCTTGGGAAGCCCGCAATGAAATGAAACTAACATTTGCTGAGTACCAGCCATGTGCCAAGTGTATTCCAAGTGTTTTACTTCCTTATCTCCTGTGATCCCCACAACCACCCTACAAGGTTGGTGCCATTATCACTCCCACACTATGGATGAGGAAACTGAGGCTCAAAGGGGTGCTGCTGCACAGATGTGAACTACAGCCTGGCTGACTCCAGACCTGCCTTTTAGCGATGGTGTCACAGCGCTCTTGTGGTTTGGGGTGACTAAAGCCTGGAAGAGTTGAAGGGGGAGAGGGATGAGGCCGTGGCTGGAGAGCTGGGCTGGGACCAAATCCTGCAGGGCTGCCTGTGTCAGGATAGGGGATCTGGACTTCACTGTAGCAGGACGGGTAGCATGTTGTTAGAGTGAGGATGATGAGATCGGATGTGCTTTTTTGAGAAGTCACTCTGAGACCAGTAGGGGAAGAAAAACCAGGGGGGAAACTGAGGCAGGGCATGGGGAGTGCAGGAAAGAGGTCATTGCCATTGCAGAGGGTGGGAGCGTGAGGCTGGAGCAGCAGGGCTTCACTCAAAGATAGAGTCAACAGGGTGGTTGGCAGGCGAGATGTGAGGGGTGAGCAATCACACTTGGTTAACAGGATGCTGCTGTTTATTTCATTCATGCATAAGAACACATTTTTATTGAGCATCTACCAGGTGCCAGGTCCTGGGCGAAGTGCTGAAAACACAGGAAAGGAAGGTGGAATTGCCAACCTGAAGAAGCCAAGAAGGGAGGTGGGAAATGCTAGAAGAGAAGGGAGGGGAAGAGAATGATGCATTTGGCAGGGGATGTATTGAGTTAGAGGCCAGGAGATAGCCAAGTGGCAATGTCCAAGGGGCACTGGATAAAGGGTCTGGACTCCAGAGGGAGGTCAAGTTTAAGATACAGGATTTAAAAAATCAAATCTTGAGCACAACTTGGTAGACTTACTGAAAGGCATTGAATAGCACATTCAAAATCAGTAAATTTTTATGGTACATAAATTATATCTCAGTAAGATTTAAAATGCAATTAGGAAAAAAACCCAACAGGTCCCAAATTTCCTAGGAAGTCATGAAATAGGGAGGGGAAGAATATTCCAGATAGAGGGGAAAGGGCAGGAGTCAATGCCTGGTGACATGGGTAACATGCGTGGCTCGGCTTGGGAGGGATCGGAAGGAGATGTTGCCTCGCTCTCTTAGGCCAGTTGTACTAGTCACGTTACTGAGCACTGACGCCCTGCAGATGCTGCAGAAGCCTTTTTGCATCCTAGATCAAATCAATCCTGCCTAACTCCAGAAGGGAAGTTGCCATCCTCATTTTATAGATGGGGAAACTGAAGTTCAGAGAAGTTAAGCAAGTAACCCAAAGCCACACTGCCTTTTAAAAGGGGTAGAATCAGTTCAGTTGGGTCAATTAACTCCAAAGTTTGGGGTCTTAATGAACACTCTAGTTTTGCCACAAACAACAAACGTCCCATCCAAGCACAGGCAGGTAGCCATGGACCTTAGAAAGACCTGAGGTTGATACACTGGCGTTACAACAGCGCCATCTGCTTGCCAAGAGGTGACGCTCAGCCGGTGATGGAAAGAGGCTCATTCCGCAGCTTGGCGCACAATTTTTTTTTTTCTGCCCCTTTCCTCAACATTGTTTCCTTCCAACAAGCCCTGGGAGGGTAGCAGGCAGGGATTGTTGTCTGGCCTCAATTTGCCAATGATGAAACCAAGGCTCAGCGAGGAGAACTGACTTCTTCAAGATGACTCAAGAGAAGCAAAGGACTCAGGATTCAAACCCATATCCATGAAATGCTGGCCACAGCTCGCCTGTCTTCAGTGTGGACTCAGCCCCCAGAGTGTTACCCAATGGGATTTTAGGGGCATCTAGGCCAATACCCTCCCTTTCTGATTCACAGATGGGAAAACAGCTTCAGGTAGTGGCCTGACCTACCCAGGTGAGTCTATGGGGGGTTTTGACAGGAGAGGGGGGGTTGACTTCAGGATCTGCAGAGTCGTGCTGGGTTCTCCGGCTGGGCAGAAGCTCCTCCCCACTAGGGACTCAGCCAGGTGGTATTTCTCTCTGGGGAACTGCTGCCCTTTTTCCTTCTCCAACCACTCAGGTATTGAGGAAGGAGGGTTTGAGACAAACAAAGGAGGCCCAGGTGGAAGGGGGACAGTTAGCTGGAAGAGGAGAGGCAGGGCTCCTGCAGAAGGCAGAAGGGTAGGGACAGAGCAAGGCCAAAGTGAATGTGGATAATGACAGTTGAGATCCCACTATTTAAGGGAAGGCACTGAGGTAGGTAGGTGCTTTGCAGGGATCACCCTCACAATGACCCCCAGAGGTGGGAAGGATTATTAATTACTCTCATTTACAGTTGAGGAGCAGTGTCAGAGTGTAAAGATCAAGCAAATATGAAGCTAGAATCTGAACCCAGGAAGTGTGATTCCCAGGAAGAAGAGATTGATGGAAAGTAGAAACAAAGGGGCAACAGGATATTGGAGTAGATGTCTCCAAGAGCAGTGTTGTCCCATAGAATTTCCTGTTGATGGCAATGTTCCAAATCCACACTGTTCAATATGGTGGTCACCGCCACTTTTGGCTCTCAAGCACCTGAAATGTAGCTATTGTGTCTGAGAAACTGGATTTTAAAAGTCAGTCAATTTAAATTTAAATAGCCACATGTGGCTAGTGGCTACCATATTAGGCAGGGCAGCCCTAGAGCTGGAAACAGTTGGTCCTCTTAGAAAAGAAGTAGACAATGAAATTCCCTGTAAATGAAGAGCCAAAAGATAAGCACAGAAAATTCATGCAAAAATATATAGAGGAAACTATTACAGTAAGTCCTCACTTAATGTCGTCGTCGATATGTTCTGTGACTTTAAGGGAAATGATGTATAACAAAGCCAGTTTTACCAAAGGCTAATTGATATATACCGAGTTAAGTTCCTAAGGCATCTCATCAACGTTATAATGAAATGACATTATTCAGGGACCTACTATGCTTTGTAAAAGCATTTGGTACTTGCTGCTAATTATGGGAATTTAAAACAAAATTGCTTTCAGATCTCTCCTTTTTGCCTGTTAAATTGGTGAAAATAACTAACAGATGTAAATTATACCATTAATCTCCCAACAACCTTATGAAATAGATCACCTGGAGTGCTCTCAGAATGCCTGGGCAAATCATGTCTGCATCCGTTATGATCTGTATGTTCCTGAATAAATAGTGTAACTTTCTTTGCTTCAGTTTCCTTAGTTGTTAAAGTGGAATTAATACTACTGCCTACATCATAGGGTGTTTGCAGGAGGCAGATGGAATAATACATGGAAAGGGCTCAGCACAGTAGCTGGCACGTGGTGAGTGCTGAATATAGGCAGATCTTGTTTTATTGTACTTCACAGATGTTGCCATTTTTACAAATTGAAGGCAAGACCCTCCACCAGCAAAAAGATTGCAACTCGTTTCATTGGGAGGCCTGGAACTGAATCTGCAATACCTCTGAGGTATGCATGTATGTGTGAATTGGGATTATCTCCATTTCACATGAGGCTCAGAGAGGGCATCTAACATGCTCCAAATTGCCCAGCTAGTAAGGGTTGGAGCTAGGATTCAGACTCAGGTCTCTGGCTCCAAAGCCTTCTTCAGGTTGCATGGCCCAGGGTCCCCTAGCACCCTCCCCTGGGTCCTTTTTACACCCCTGCTTCTAGAACCCTGGTGACTCTGTAGGATCTCTAAGCTCTGGGTTGTTCCTCAGACTAGCTCCTGGCTACATGGGGTGGAGCTGCTGAGTGACTTGCTGGTGTCCTAGCACATCCTGCGGCTCACCACAGGGAGGAAGCCCTCCTCCATCCTGTGGCAGCACAGCCCTTGAAAGAAGAGAGGCAGACCAAGGCCAAGCAGGTGAAGACAGAGAGGGAGAGGAGAGGGAGCAAGGAAGCTGAGAATGAAGATGGGGTAGAGAAGAGAAACGGGGTAGGGAGAGGAAGGGCTGGAAGCAAAGCAAGGAATGAAAAAGGAGGCAAATGTGGGAGGTGATTCGAAAAGCTCAGGAGCAAACACAAACATCTACTGAACGTTTACTCTGAGCTTATATGTGCTAAGCACTTTCCATTCATCTTTCATCCTCACCAGAGAACAAGGTAGGGCTGTTACAATCCTCATTCTCCCAGGGAGTAAAGTGAGTCAGGCGGCTCGCCCAAGGTTCCCCAGTTGGACAGCACCACAGTTGCGGCCTGAACCTTCTTTCCATGAACACCTGCAGAAGAGGGAAGGTGATGCTGCACACCTGAAACTAAGACAAAATAATACTGAATTAAAATGCAACTGGGAAAATTTTAAACAGTAAAAAATAAACAGAAAGAAAAAAATTATACATTGAATGTTTTAGGGGGCTAAATGTCTATCTTTTGATAAATACATAATAAAATTGGATTTTTATATTTAAAAAAAGAAGAAGGGGGAAGTTGGGGAGGACAACCATCGAGGAAGATGGAAAAGGGCGAAGAGCAGGAGAAGGGGTGAGGGAGGGACGTGTAGGGGAGAGGAAAGTACCCCAGGGTGGTCCTGTCCACTTCCCCCAGGAGTGCTAGTCCCTCAGTGCTGGTGGTGGCTGTGAGGAAAGACAGACTGGTCCACAGCCAATATGGTGGAAACATAACTACGAGGGTTATGGAAGAGCAAATTATCTGATGTGGTAGTTCTCAAACTTTCTGGTCTCAGGAACCCTTTCCACTCTTTTTAAAAATACATATATATATATGTGTGTATATATATATATGTATATATATATATTTTTTTATTGATTTTAGAGAGAGAGGAAGGGAGAGGGAGAGGGAAAGAAACATCAGTGATGAGAGAGTAATTGATTGGCTGTCTCCTGCATGCCCCCCACTGGGGATCGAACCTGCAACCTGGGCATGTGCTCTGACTAGGAATCGAACCACTATCTCTTGGATCATAGGTCGATGCTCAACCACTGAGCCACACTGGCCAGACAACCCTTTCTACTCTTAAAGGGGCTCCAAAGAGTTTTTGCTTATGTAAATTAGACCTATCTATATTTCCAATATTTAAAATTAAAACTGGGTTTTAAAAATATTTAATTCATTTAAAATAACTAACAAGCCCCTTACATATTAATGTAAGTATCACATTTTTGGTGTTTGAAAAATATTTTCAAAACAAAAAAATCTTAGAAGGGTGATATTATTTTACATTTTTTGCAGATATCTTCAATTTTTGTCTTAATAGCAGACAGCTGGATACTCATATCTGATTCTGCATTCAATCTGTTGTGATTTCATGCCATGTAGTGTCTAGAACTGCTTACCTAATGTATATTCTAAACTAGGGTGGGCTTTATAAAAGTTTCTGTAGTAGCAAAAGTTAGGACACCTGGGTTCTAGTCCTATCTGTTAATGACCTAATTAGTTCTCTGAAGAAGCCAGCTGGTCTCCGGTCTGTCCTGTTCTCCACTCTGCCCTCAGGGCCTAACACAGCTCTCTAATTGGAGCTGAAATGAACAAATGCCCAGGATCTGAAAGAAGTTCAATTCACCCAGGGTCCTGGGGTAATTATCAGTTGTATCTACTATTTAACATAGGATAGTGGTTAAGACCTTGAACTTTAGAGTCCCATGCCTTGGGTTCAAATCCTAATTCTGCAGCTTATTAGCTGTGTGATCTTGAGCTAGTCAGTTAATTTCTCTGTTACTTTATCTGTAAAATGGAGATAATAAAACTTCACTGAGTTGTTATGAGAATTAAATGAAAAAATCCATGTTAAGTGCTTAAGACAGCACCAGCTACAGTCAGCATTTCTCCCTCTCCATCTCCGTCTCCATTTCTTCCTCTTTCTATAAAAAAATCAATCAATAAAAAATTTAAATCTTCCTTTCCATTTAAACATGTTGAATAGTTAATGGGTGTTTTATATTGCATCTTACAGAAGTCCAGTAGTTTGTTTAGCCATATTTGCTATTAAATGAAAGTGATGATTAATGATTTGAGAAATTATGTGCCAGACACCAAGCTAAGCACTTTACACATACACAACCCCATGAAGAAGGCATTTTATTCCCATGTAAAATAAGAAAACTGGGGCACAGTTTAGATAAGTAATAGGCCAAAGTCACCTGCTTCTAAGAATGTTGTTTCTAATTTTATTAAAAGTTGCCATAAGCCTCTTGGTAAATAAACCTTTGCATGTGTTCTCAATAATTTAATTAGAATAAATTCCTAATGAAACAAAGGGTAGACATTATTTTGGAATCTTCTGACACATACTGCCCAACTGTCCTTGAGAAAAATTAGAACTGCCATTGGCAGCGTTCGTTAGGATGGTATTTGAACATTTGCACGATGGGCACTGTCCTTGGTGCTGAGGGTTCTGCAGGGACTGAGATGCTCTGCTCATGGCACTTAGTCTTGTTGGGGGAGGGGCAGAGTATAATACAGTGGATGACAGGTGCTCAGAAAAAGCTAAAGAAGGGTGAAGAGGCATCATATGAGAGAATTACTTTATATCAGGTGGTCAAGGGGGGCTCTTCCAAAATGACATTAGAGCAGAACCCTGAAGTTTTAATGCCCATTTCTCCAACCCAAAGTATTATCACATATTTCAGCCAGTGAGATACAGGGGTCTTATCTTTACGTTCTTTTGAAAATTTATTAAGCCCCTACTATGTTCTGAACACTAAACAGAAAACAAAGCATTCAGTCAGCAGACTAGACAGATTTAGGATTTAGACTCAGCTTCAAGAAATACCTGTGATACTGGAGACCTCAGTTTCCCCATTTTAACATGGGGACACTGACCTTATAGGCTTGTGCAGGCCTTTGAGTTGGCATAGAGCCAATGAGTTGCCAAGTTCATCAAACTAATAGAAGAACTCATCCTCAATGATGAAGCTGGTGTCTGAGTGAGGAATTGACCTCATTACTGACTTCTGGCTTGGACCTTGGGCAACCTACTTCTGCCCCTCAATTATCACCTCTGTAAAAAGAGGTAATACTCTCCTTTTTTTCTTACAAGTTTGAATTATTTATATAAAAGTGTTTATTACATTTTTTCAAGGCCTCCTATCTTCCTCGTAGCCTCTCCCCCACTCTGAGAGTTCAGTATTGATAAAAATGGTTTCTTCTTTGGGCCATCAATTTTTGAGTCCATGAGACAAGATGTGTTCTGTGTGCATAGCTCTGCATCTCTCCCATGCAGGAAGGTCTCCTTGACTGGAGCCCTCTTCCCCACCCACCAAAGCCTTCCCTGATCTCCCTTCCCAGCCCTTTCATCCGTGGCAGTCACCACCTCTCCCCTTCTCGGACAGTCTAGTTGCCTGGAGGCTAGGAGCATTAGTGTGGCAGGTACTCCAAAGCAAAGCTTTCCCTGTGACCTTTACTTACGGAAGCAGGGCAGTTAAGTGGCAAAGAATAACTGTGCTGGTGTGAGACTTACGGGTTTTCAACATTACAGCCCAGCGTCCTTCAACTTCTTTGTCTCAGGTTTTCACCTGTAAAATAATTTCCAGTGAGTTGTTGGGAAAATTAAATGAGTTCATATGTACAATTCAAAGTATCACTTAGCTGGTTCACCTGACCTCCTGCACAAGTATCTACATACAGCTCATGGCCTGGCTCTGTCCCCACTTGTTTCTCCATGTGCTGTGTCCTAGGTCACTTTGCTGTGGGTGACGTGAGGCAGATGGTGGCCATTGGAGTCATCAAGGCCATGGAGAAAAAAGCTGCGACAGGCAGTAAAGTCAACAAGTTGGTGACTTCAGATCCCTCCAGGCCAGGGGCTTCCCAGGAGAAGCCACACCTGGGAGAGAGTGGCTCAAGGAGAAGCCTCGGAGTTGCTCTTGTCTTGCCTGAATTGTCCTAAACCTGCCCCTGCTAATGTGTTCTTTTTTCTTCTTCTTAATTGATTTTTAGAGAGAGAGAGGAAGGGAGAGACATTGATTTATGGTTCCACTTAGTTATGCATTCATTGGTTGATTCTTGTACGTGCCCTGCCCAGGGATCAAACCCGCAACCTTGGCGTATCAGGAGGACCAACTGAGCTACTCCAACTAACTGAGCTACCCGGCCAGGGCGAGTTTTCTTTTTTCTCCATGGCTGATGAGTTTGAGGCATGGGAGTAAAGCACAACAAGTCTTTTTGCCTCTTCTGACCCAATGTCTCAAGCAAGTAAGTAGTGGGGGAGTGCTGGGGCTAGTTCTGCCATTTCTGCTACTTTTTGGGAACCTGACCTATGTAAGAACCACACAGCTGGGCTCACGAGGAGGGTAAGGGGTAAAGGGGGAACCGTGGGGCAGCTTTTGGCCCTGGCCTAGTTCATCAGCTCCTTGAACAGGACTGGACTCTGGCATTAGACTGCCCGACTTAAAACAGTGTCTATAAAAGTTACTAAACTTCGGTATGCCTTGTTTGCTCATCTCTAAAATGGGAAAACAATAGTACCTGAGTCACAGGGATGTTAAAGGTCGAGTGAGCTGGTACCTACTGGCTAAATTAGCTATTAATTAGTTATTCCCGTCCCCACAGTGTGGGTACTGGGGTTGAGTGAGAGCTATTATGGGGAAGTTCAGTGGAGAGAGATGGGGGAGGAGAGAATGAAACTGAATTTTGGAAGATGAGCTCTGTGTTATCTTCCTAGGGGACATGCTTCCCTCAAATTATTTTCTCAACTTCACTTTGACAACTTCAGTTACAGAGAGGCTGCAGGGAGTCCCATGTGTATGTTTTCACTTAGATTCCCTAAATCTTGAATTCATCACATCTGCTTTAGCCTTTTCCCTCCAAGTATATTTTTTCTGAACCATTTGAGAGTAAGCCGCAGTTATGATGCCCCTTTATCCCCAAACTGCATGTGATTTTCTTAAACCCAAGGACATTCTCCTATAAAACCAAGGTTGAGTAATCAGAATGAGGGCACTCAACTAACATGTGGCTCCTGGCCTCCCCCTGGGTCCTGCTGCTAAGGATTCAGTTAAATCAGCCCTCTTACTATCTGTCAGAGACTAATCTGCAAGTCCTCTTTGGGCCTGCAGGATGCCCCTCTCTTAATTATATACCATGGCTAACACTTTTTTGGGGGGTTGCTTGGATACACTAGGTTTATATTAATAACAAGAGTAACCACTTACTGTGGACCTACTCTATGCTCTGCACAATTACCTCATTTAATTTTAACAACATCATGTACCCATTTTAAAGGTAAGGAAAGCTGAGGTTGAAAGAGGCCTAATTAGTAACCTGCCCAAGGTCATAAAGACAGGACCACATCTGCCTGTCTTCAGGGCTCAGGACTCAAGCCACTCTGTTCTAACTGTATAAATGCCATTTGCTTACACTACTGCAGAATACATTATTTGCTCCATGACTTGTATAACTGATTTAATGTAGTTTTGGCAGCCTCATCACGACCCACCAGGTCCTGAGGCGGGGGGCGGGGGCGAAGGGCCAGGAAGCTGACAGAACCTAGTCCGGGAGCGTTAAAAACGTTTTTTGGGCCCTAGCCGGTTGCTCAGTGGTTAGAGCGCGGCCCTCTGCCTGAAGGCGGCTGGGCTCCATTCCGGCCAAGGGCACGGACCTCAGTTGCAGGCTCCGCCCGCCGGGTTGGGTGCCTGAGGGAGGCAACGAGTGGAGCTGCTTCTCTCGCATCCATGTTTCTCCCCCTCCCCCCTTCCACTCTCTCTGAAAAGCAATGGAACAATATCCTCGGTGAGGATTAAAAACCAAACCAACCTATTTTGGAAAGCCCAGGTCCGGTGGGGGCCGGCGCGGCCTGCAGCCGCCCACACTGTCCACAGGGGCGAGGCAGGCGCTCC